GTCATAATGTAAATTTTATTTGGCTTTAAAAGGTTCAATTAAGACAGCATATAAAGGTTAGTAAACCTATATTTAGGTTTAAAAAAAAAAGAATAATATGATATTTGGGAAACTGAAAAATATTCAACAAGTCAACTAGCTTGCCTGTCTAGCATGTACTGAAAAAATAAACTTGCTGGGGTCGGTATTATTATTAATCATGAAGAACCAAGGAAATTTAAGGTATTAAGAGTAATATGAACGGATCAAACAAAATCTATGTATTAAAAAGAAAATTCAGAAATAAAAGTTCTAACCAAATTAAGGAATTCTCAGTACAATAGTCAACATTTAACTTTGATACGGAGAATATAATGAATATAATCAGCGATGATGAAGAGTAAAGTGGTGCTCATCGACTTTATGGCGGAACCGAAGTTCAACAATCTTAACTCTAGTGTATGATAAATCTGTCCAAAACTCTGACGGAAAAGAAAGTGTTCTGCATCAAACGTAAAATATAGGCTAATAATTAAACTGATGCTTATCTAGAATATTTGCCAATAATCATGCTGCATGCAGTCACAAGTATCTGATACCTATTAATTATATGTACAACTTTAAACAATAGAGTCAAAGGCAATATCGAAGCCATCGAAAGACAAATAAATAAATTTCTGGGTAGTAAACCATTCATTAGCATTCAGAACATGGATAATATCGTTCAAAAGTACCTATGAAGACTAATTATGAGTTTAGGGGGCGAAGCCCCATGGGGCCGACTGATATCACAAAATAGTTCACCTGAATTGTTTTTCATGAGCCATATTTTCTCGTTTTTAAATACAGCAGCAGGCAATTAGTCTTCAAGTTTGTCACTTGTTAATAACTTAACCTGATTTAATGATAATTATCAGCAAATGGGAGATAAAAGCAATAACGTCTATATTTTGACCAAACAGTAAAGGAAGTTTTTAGGCAAATTAAGTAAAAAAATATAATAAAAATACAAGAAATATCTCTTTAGAAATTTTCTTATTTAAGCAAAGCAAAAAGGCCCACTGGAGTTAAAGTAAAAATAGCTAAGATAAAATAAACTTACATGACACCGAGAAGAGAGTTGTATGAACCAAATCAAGTTCACAAGAAGACTATATATTATAGAAGCTAAAATTGCCGTTGAATTAGACAAAAAACAGTGATTTTAAATTCAAAGCCTCAAGTCCATTACATACTTATAGAAAAATGCGTTAAGCGAACCCTCGCAGCTAAGGGGTGAACACGAAGACACCAGAGAAAAAACAATAGTCATAAATAAGGAATGATATACTCTGATAGTCTTACAGTGCTGAAATCAAGATATGAACTATCAGCCATAGTTAATACGAGACAGTCACTAGTGCATATTTTATCCCCATTTTATAAAAACAAGAAAAAATGCATCAGTGTATTAATTCGCAAATAGTAAAACAAATAACTGCACCTGCAAGATCTCGCGACCATCTTCGAGAATCGCTCCTTTTGCAGGAATTCCATTAATGGAAAGAACAGCATAACCAATCTTGATTTCATCCTTTGCACCAAAATCAACAATCAAGTAGCCATCATGCATTTTGAAAGTAAACGGAAGAGGATAATTATAAGATTTCTCCACTTCAACTAAAGGAATTGCATGGTCATAGCTATATTGAAGAGAACCAGACTCGCTAATAACATAAATAGAAAACACGCTCATGTGGGGAAAAATAAAACAAATATGGTTAAAACAACCAAATTAAAATAGCTGACACTTGATGTCTTATTGAATATTTATGCACATATTTGCTTTACACTTTAAAATTAATTAACTAAATGGCCATGTTGGAGAAACAAAATATTTAAGAACCTTAGCTTATTACAATTTATGGATTGAACATATATCTTAGTTGATTATAGTATTTTCCAAATATACCTAAATAACCCGAGAATATAATCTAAAAGTCCCTTAACAATTGTTTCTAGACCCTCAACATCTACAAGGCCTGGGTTAGACTGCATGAAGTAACGTGGAACGGACTATTTGGGTCTGCATGAATACATATATTCTGTAAAAATCTACCCTTATGGTGTTGATTCACAGCCTATCATAGTAACATATATGTAACTCTCTTATGCAATATTACTCTTAAGCTAATTGTCTTTTCCAATGTATTCTTCACTTAAACTTATGTTTATCTCCATTCATATGCCTCACAGGATAGATTTTTAAAACTTATTTGTACCTTTCACTAGGAATTGACGGTCTTTTGTTATTGGATCCTTTAGTCTTTGCTTATTTTACAATCCAAGCATCCTATGGATCATGATAAACATCCTAAAAACGGAATTCCTACACTTTATGCTAGGACTCCTTGCAAAGAATATTTGCATGACTTTAAAAATTTTGAAGATAATGCTGTCCCCTAATTATATTATCATATTGATTAGCTATAAATATTGCTCCGACATCCCTCAAAATCATGAAAGGTTAATATAACAAATAATGCTGATTTTTAAAGTGTTTTTACTTCAATTGTTCTAGATGATAAGATATTAAATGGACGCATTAGTCTTCCCTATATTTCCTCATGTATCAATGTTTATTTCGATTATCCACATTTATTAGTAGTAATACTCTTAATAATTGGTCAGTCTATTTGGCGAAGACTTTATGAAGATTATCTTCATCACATTTTAACCTGGTTTCTGGTATGTGCTTTTAATATCCTATCCCACA